AAGAGACCATAAACTCTTTTCTGACGAAATGCGTGTGAACGGTAATAGCCGCAACTCTCGGTTCGATAGCTGTTCCATTGGCATCCCCAGTAGTTGGGAACGTTTTGGAGACTGAGTGTAAGACCGCATTGGTTGCGGCTGTGAGTTGTCCAACGGTACGCCAGGTCTGTTGTGCTGATAGTTCATTGGCTATGGAAAGTACACCTGCAATGGTGTCAATGCGAAGCCGACTGTGTGCCTAGTTAACAAAGTAAATGAGGCTGAACGACCAAAGAAGGGTGTCGCGTTATGTTATCATTCTTGGAATTCAGGTTCTGGGTTTGGGGATGTTTCAGCTGTTTCCCCAAAAACGGTCCGTCTCGTCGGGTGCTTCGCCAGAAGGGAACTTTAAAACACGACAACCGATGGAAATTAGACTGTCCTTCACTACTAGGATTAGCGAATTACTTGTAGACTCCTTTAGCCATTGAGTTGGCTGACCTGGGAAACAGATTAGTGGATGAGTGGTTTTAATTGTCAAAAACAGCCATTGGCGCTGGGAAGCGCTTCTCTCCATGACAACGTCGAAGTTTCAGCTTTTATTGCTTTTTGATGGTGGACGGTAGGTTGGAGACCATCATCTGTGTGTACCACATGTCTTCCTCCATTAGAATGGAAATGAAGAGCTTAGCAGCCTATCAAAGCTTGCGGCAATTACTGCGCCGTTTTCTTATACTTAGGGGTCTAAATCTTCAACATACAGATAGGGAGCACCCCAGCAACGTGACAGGTAAAATGGATACACGAGAATGGATTCGTCCAAGGTATTTGCTCTGCGACGAGAAGTAGCATCGGGACTGTCCCCTCAAGCTTAGATCTCGTGCTCACTAACCATGGCCGCGTAACAATTATTCATGTAGTGGTTACCATAGGTTGGGGTGATCATTTTATTCTTACCTGTTCTCTGAATGTGTAGCAGCTACTATACTCAAGTTTGGTCTCGTGCAATTGCTGGATATGTTTATCTCCTTTTGCCCTGAAAGAAGCAGGGATAAGTTCCGCTGGTGGTGGCCGGGAATTACCCGAGTGCTTCAGAGACGTATTGCTTGGTGAACAAGGTTCCAGAAATCCGGGGGATGTATGCGATTGATACACCGTACTCGACGACGGACTAGCAATCAAACTGCACAGGCGGGCTAAATATTTCAGTGAGCTTATGTAAGTCCAGGAGGCGAAAAGAAATCGGAAGAAGTATTATAGTTACATACAATCAAAAACTTCCAGCGGGATGGGATTGGCAACCTTGTAGTGGCCAAACGACACATAATACTGTGCTAGGTATCAGTAGTACAGAAGCGCTAGGAGCATAAACATTAAGGGGCCAACAGCGGACAATACTAGCATCCCAACAGAGAATGAAAGCTTAGGAGCCGCAGATGTATGTGTGCGAGAAATAGACACAAAAGCAGTGAGCGTCATGTAACCTCCAATGGAAAGAGAGTAGATGAGTGGAAGTTTTGTTCCTGATTATTGAAGCATTTGATCCATTATGTTTGCCACAATAAACAATTTCTTTCGTGCCCTGGGTTCTTACCACCTAATTAAGGAGGATGAATATCAGGCTATGGAAGATGCAGCTAAGGCGGGGCATTATTGCCTTACTTCCAGAATTTGCACCGTGCAGACAACTGTTCTGTAACTTCCTCGCAGTCACATTGCTCATATAAAAGTTATGTGCTGCGTGTTGAAATAACTGCTTCATCGGTCTTTGAGGTGCTGACTAGTTTAAACTCCTACAGTTCGACGAGCCCTTACAACCTTCATCCAGCGATTGTTAAACTGCTCGCGGACATTCTCCAATATCCCTTCTCGGACCTTTCCAAGTATTCTATTCGGGAAGCCAGACTACCACATGACTGGAAGGAGGCGAATATTGTGGCAATTTATTAGAGATGCTCCAGTCTGTGCCACTGAACTATACGCCCGTCAGCCTGACAAGTGTTCTGCTTGAGCGCCTTGAGAAGCCTATTTGCAATGAATTTATGATCATTTAGTTGTTGCCAACACGCAGCGGAAAAGCATGGCTTCATTAGAAAGAAGTCATGTCTTACAAACCTGGTGTTTCTTGGACGAAACAACTCGATGCCTTTATATCAGGGTTCCGGTGGTGGTCTGCTAGTGGACTTCAGTAAAGCATTAGACCTGTATAATTATGGATATTTACTGGAGTAGTTGATTTGGTTTGAACTGCGTGTCCCATTGATGACTTGGTTGTCAGCTTTTTTTGGTACAGAACGTTCCAATTCAGAAGTGGCGAGGCCAGACCTAGCATGGGCACTGCCCATGGTGGAGTCCCCCAGGGTTTAGTACTAGGACTGTTATCGTCCTTTATGTTTACAAATAAGCTTGTTCACCTTCTCGAGGACCCTTGTTATGTCTTTGCGGCGGACGTAAAGCTCACCGGTAGGGGAAGTAGAAAAGCGTTGCCCAAAGACCTGAAAATCTTGGCGAGACCTATAACGAACTGCCTAGTACGTAGTCGGAAGTTACTCCCTCTGCACCAGTGGAATGTAAAACAGTAAAAGCCTTTAAAATAGGCCTAGATATGGATCGATCGACTCTCCGTAAATACACTATTAGTAGATGCTGCATTAAACAGTCCGTGGTTTGTTGGATGTTTTGAACTGTTTCATGAAGTTCCGCGAGGTGACTCGCACTCCAGTTTCGGCTATGTTTGCAGAAGTGTGTAAATTTGTATGCACAAGTGTCGGAGGCCCCGGTTTACTTACTTGCACACGAAACGGGACGCTGGTTGGGCAAAGGACGAAACACCGTCCCTAGTGACTGACCTGACCTGCCCATTTGGATGGCGTCTCGTTGTCAGTCACCACAGTGGCCCGAAGCTACATTGCAGATGTTACTTCCTACGTCAAAGCTTTCGTTCACCAGTTTGATCTGCTTTTATTTTTTGTTCCCTTCTGATCTGTTTTCACTTGGTTACTGTTACCATGAATGGACACGTATCCCTTCATTCTATTCGTTTTCGTTAGTTTCTTTTTACTGAGAAAATGCATTTCATACTAGTTGATATCACTGTGCTTTTGCACATCTATTCTGGCTCGCTCGTTGGACTGAAACTTATTCAAAGCAACCCCGTGGCGGAACGAGTAAGTGCTGTTGACTATTGCTTTCACTGAGATTGGCTCACTTATCTGATTACCTCGTAGCCATCGGAATCCCTATGTGTGCTTTCGTAATCTAACTACCAATCGGTTCCCTTGGTCTCAACCCTATTGACACAGCATCAGAAGCAATCAGGCGAGTACTGAACAGGGAGAAAATAAGAGTGGCTTTTCAAAGGGGTCAAACGCTCCGTGTAGCATTGGTGCGTTTGAAGGATACGCTTCCAAGAGATAGGAGGACAAATTGCGTTTATAGAATCATTTGCAAAGACTGTGAACACGTGTATATATTCAAATAGCGAGAGAGCTACGCAGGAGGATGGCTGAACACAAGAGTCACGTTTCGCGCCTACCGCGAAATAAACCTGAATACAGGGCCCTAATAAGCAATTCAGCAATGGTCGTACACGCGCTAGAGGCAGGACACGAGATTGACTGGGACAAAGAGATAGTTAAGGGAAGATTACCAGCAACAAGCCAGAGGTTGATTGTTGAGGCGATTGAGATTACGAAGTCTAATAACTGTGTGAACAGAACTGACGTGGTGGAGTTATCGAACGCGTGGCGGGCTGTTTTAACCCCATCAGTCAGAAAAGGTGTCCTCGGACTAACTCAGGTCGGAGCGTGAATCAGCAGCTGAAGGAACGGGTATGTCTCACATGTGAACGACCAGTGACGCGGATCAATGAGAAAAGCTCGATGCTCCTCGTTACACTAGAATAGCCATTTGGCCTATTGACCTGTGACACCGGTATCCAATGATTCGTGTTATTTCTTGAAATCTTCAGCATACTTTTCCATAAAATGTTAGGCCAATTATATACCGATTCACCTGGTCTGAAGTAGCCCTTGCGTCAAGAGCGAAACGTTGCCATAATAAAAACCTACAAAAAACCGATTTTATTCAAAACCTTTAAAATAAACGTTTACATAGTTTATCCAGATTAGTTTTCTCCCCGGACTGCTTTCCCTAGGTTGTATTACTACGTCGGTTCTGTATGGTCTGCAGATTTTCAGTTGTCATATCTGGTTCCTGTTTTCACTATGAATGTGTCAGCTGTACGCCGTAACGGCGCTTCGCTGCCGTGCGACCACCACCAGTCGCGCACAGGCTGGGTATACCGCGAGGACGCCCACCCATACGCGGATTTCACTATGAATACCGAACCTGCAAAGTGCTACAGCGTCTCTGTCTTCCAGCGTGTTTAAGCAGAGCCGCAGTTTTGTTCTCTGTTTCGCGCATGGGCCGAAACCAATGTACCCATTGAGCCGCAAGGCAAAATGTTGTCGCAAAGCAACCGGTAAGAAAGCTTTTTAAGTAATATTATATTCTCGATAATGCGAGGCACGCCTGCATTGGCATGATCATGGTAAAACTGCATGAACAATCTGTGAATGTACAGAAGCGTTACAAGTTCACTGGTTACACTGAATGTGTGTCTAATGTATATATGTATGTATGAGGGTATACGTGTATGTAGCAAGTTGGGTCCTTGGATTTGTACTTTTGCTTGTGTATTTGGCATTGTGTCCAGCCAGGTCGGCAGCGTGAGAAGCGATCAGTGGAAATCCGCGGAGTGGGTACAAACATTTGTACAGTCAAGGAGCAGTGACTTTATTTAGTGGCGCCACTTCACTTGTTCCTAATTCTTTCCTATTGGTCCTAGCTTCTGGACGCAATTTTAGTTGGACCAATGTCTATCAACCAAGGGCTACTCAGTACTCCAATGCCATCTTCGCACTTTGATCTGAATGATTCCAGCTACTTTGTAACGATGTGGATGATTTGTAGACCTCATGTGAGCTAAGTGAATCACGTGATTTCCTTTGTACCATAGGATCGATATTGAGTGCACGGATTCGATTGGTTGCATGGCACTGAAACGCAAGAACTGCATTTATGATGGGCCAGCTGTTCAGAAAATGTGCATTATACTTAGCACTTTGGCATTGTTATCCAATGGCATATTTCATCAACCTTGTTGTGGCTTCCATTAACATCTACTTGCATGTTTGCGAAGCCAAGGAAATGGCGGACTGGAATTTCAGTAGAGAGTGCGTTACCCTGGACCAGTTGATCAACAACCTAGTCTGCTCTTTAGTAGCCTTGAGCGAATCCTCTATTACACACATAAATATTCCAGCAGTCGGCCTCAACTCCATGGTTGTTGCTCTCAGCTTGTTAAGCTGGTTGTTTTCGTGGGCGAGGCGCTTTTGTTGCATCAGAAGCCGGCATCGGTTGAGCGACCTAGGGGATTTTTCCACTTGCATGCTACAATTCTTTAATCTTGTACTGGTTTGCTTCAACATCGCCACCTGTGTGCTTCTCGTAATCTTAGCCATATTTTGGTCTTGGTTGCACGATTGGAAAGGGTGGAATCAAAGCCCCTATATCATCCGGAGTGCGTACAGGCTCGTAAAAGTGCTTAGTACAGGATCAATACATTTCATCTTCACTTTGTGCCAGCTCCCAGCACTCCGAAGCTCCGGTGGACAGAACCGATGGTCGCGATGTGTAAAATACACAAATATTTCCAAACGTTCTGTTCAACTAGACACTGGCACATGTCAAGTATACCCGCTGCCTTTATACTGTCCTGGTGTGTTTAGCCACCGCCGTCGAATTCGGACCGTCCATGTTAGTGTGATGACTGACCAAAAACCGGATTAATTCGACCATCCGAGGTAAAACGCTACTTTACATACTCTAACAGTCTCACCGCTCCGATGAAGGCTATATTTTGCTCGGCGTGAGGCGAGACCATGCTGGTTCGATAGTGTTACATCTCATTAGATCCTGTTATTTCCTTCAGAGTAACAATTATAAACAATAGCTTGAACTGTCGATCTTCAACCACTTTCAATATCGTTGGTCTATTTTGAACACGAATGATGCAACCGCTTCTGGTGTTTGAGATGGGTACACAAAAGTTACCGAGAATGATGTTGCTCATCCCATGGGGATTAGCGCGGTTGTTGCTGCAATTTCGGATTTATATGCCCATGTATTTGTTGTCGTATACCACTCCGAGGGTCAACACAGAGCTATAAGAGCGGATAATCATGAACATAACGTTTTCATAATAATAATAACAACAATAACAATAATAGTAATGAATACGTCGCCAGCCGTAACGGCGATTCGCTGCCACGCGACCACCACCAGTCGCGCGTGAGCTGAGTATAGCGCTAGGACGCTTGCCCCTACGCAGATTCGAACCGGTGACCTTATGTAGATGGAAATTGGGTATTGCCCACCCGAAAACACTGCACAACCGCGCATACCACTCGGCCACCGGCCGACACGGTTTTTCACGCCGTGCATAAATTCAAAATCACTCTGCCGTTGCTGTTCGTATTTACTAGTTCACCTTTTTCTCCGTCCCTCGATATCAGTCCAGGTTAACTTGTCTTCATTCAGTTGCGGCTCGCCATTCGTTGCATCCAGTTTATTAATCTTGCCCACACCAGACCAAGCCGCTACCGACCTGCCCATCAACTGGGCACAATTGGGGGGTTAAGCATTGGCATGGTTGATAAAACTTAATGTGTGTGATTACCCGGCTGACCGGTCGGTGGCCGAGTGGTCTGCACGTTTGCTTTGCAACCACAAGGTCACCGTAGGGGTCACCGCGTAGGGGTGGGCGTCCTCGCGGTACAGTCAGCCCGCGCGCGACTGGTGGTGGTCGTGCGGCAGCGAAGCGCCGTTACGGCGTGCAGCTGACACATTATCATTACTACTTTTTTTTACCTGGCTGACCCGTATCACATCAATTATTTCTTTCTACACAACACTTGCTGGTTTTCAATCACTGCTTGCGGTATAGATGTGCATGATGGTTAACCATACCTAGCATTTGCGCCCTCGTGCAGGGTGGTCACCTACGATCTATTATCGGAAGTTCTATTATCCAATGGTATTCTGTTCCATCGCAGATACCAAGATTTCTGCAAGTTGTTTAGTGTGGAAACCCATGAGTTGGTAACACGGTTCGATAGGGTCTAAAACGTGCTGCATGCGCTGGTTTCTCAACTGGAGTTTTCACTGAGATGTTCTATTGGATTGTGAGGCGATTGCAGTTGACCGGGGTTTGATCACAATGAAACAGTGGCAAAGAAGCGAATGCTTAGCAAGTTCCGTAGGATGGCCAGAAAAAGAACCACAACATGGAGAATAGAAAACAGTGATAAAATGAAAATCGTATTGGTGGACGCAGTGGCATGCAGAAAGGGCCAATCCCAGTTTTGTAGGTTAATTCTGGTTGTGTGACTTTCGTCACATTATGGAACTATGGAACGTTGATATAATGCGGACAAAAAATCCAAGGCTTGACAAGTGCCGGGGGATGGTTTGTGGGACTAACGTTTGTTCAATGAAGTTACACCAAAGAGAAAATCACATCTGTGGACTCACCATATTATCCACCTTAACACATAGGTATATCCGTTTATCCCGATTTCGTGGGGTTGGTGAGCACAATGTTTGTCTGCGTCTTGTCGTCACTCAATGAATGGAAATCAGATCAAGTAATGTAAATGGTGTAAAGCATCGCCGAGTCGCATTTTTTTAAAATGGGCAGCGTGGGCGCAGTAGTGACAAAAGTCGAAAGAGCGTTCCACGGTTGAGCAACTCGAAAGGAAAGATAATTCTAGCGGCACTCAAATCGACAGTACTGCGTGGCAAGTTTCAACTGATGAACCCTAAATTCCGTTTTGCTGCTAGGCTTCAGGAGGTGGCAGCAAGCGTGACCTGGGAATTTCAGAATCTGGAACGCCAGGATGAGTTCACCCTGTAGACGGCGATATCTTCCGCTGTACACTCTCAGAGCTTTCAGTCGCCTATGGTATTGCAGGCGGCACAACCCCTTCACATTTTTCCTTGCCCGTCGCTTTGCGGTCTCCAGTACAACCAGGTCGCGTTTTAATCAGGGTTGCCAAAGCTAGATCGCGTACTCTACATAGGACCTTACCCACGCATTGAGCATTTGGGGGAAGATGGAGAGATCGAACCTCCCAAACGCCCTCGGTAACAGACTAACATTTTGGTTCGTAGTTTTGGACGCCTTCAAGGACAGCGCTGAACAGCCGAGGTCGTCTTGGATCACCACCCCAAGGTCTCGCTGTTGTGAGAAGGTTTTCAGGATCTCGTCTCCAAGCTTATATGCTTAAGTGGGCTTGTGGCGGACATGCACGGTCTTCCACTTGTCCGTGTTAAACGGAAGTGGATTTAGCTTTGACCATTCAAAAGTGCCGTCTAAGTCTCGTTACAACATATTGTGACCTTCCTGACTGTCGGTTGACCGCCATATATTGTCTGTCGAGACACAGGCTATATCTCGTAAGCCAGGTGGGTTAGGGCAACGTCATGATGTTTTTAAATACAGGTAAACTGGCGGCGGAAACAACGTAATTTGTGACGGAGTTCCATGACTGGCAAATACGAAGAAAGTAAAAGTTTCGCCGACATTCTAGCCGACTGCATTACCTGGCTAACTTTGACTGGTGACCCCTCAAATTTGTGTTGTGGCTGAGTTGTAGTAGTGGCAAACTTGATTGGGTTCTTTAAATAGCATCGTAAGGCTCAGGTAGGCTCGGTACCGCCTGTATACTATCATATGATATGAGATTAACCTGACATGCTTTGTGTCAGTGTGAGTTCAGCGCTGAAGGTCTATTATGCTAACGCTACAACTTACCGCACATGAGGCCGCACCTAGTGTTAACAACTGCACAGACAGAGGATCACCCAAAGCCTCCGCAGCGTGCCAACGTGTGTCCCAGTCTTGATTCTTTAGTGTTCTGAGCACCAGATAGCTTGACTAGTACCCCAAGGTATCTTGCGTACTTTCAGACATGGTCTCCCTATATGCGAAGTTGCAAGTGGTAATGACCACCTACGTTCCCTAACTGAACAGATTGGGTAGGACCACTCATAATCTCTGTCTGGTCTCTTGAAGTGCATCATGATCTGGCTAGGAGTCCACCAATCTAACATTATCACGACAGCAGAATCTAAAGCAACATGGGCTCGTAGACACAAGAACGAGGCCAGCCATGTAGACTCACTTCGATATGACGATCGACACGCACTGTCGCAGTTGCCGATCCTACAGTCTGCACCAAGGACAGATCCCACTCTAGCTTCTCGCTTGAAGCGGAACGCGGTCCAGTCGGTCGAGGCTTGAGAGTCAAGGTAACGAATTTCCTTGACTGATCGCGCCATCCAACTACTGCGTGCAATCTATAGTGCATGACGGTGCTGCAACATATTGTCGGTGCTATGAGTGTGCCTAGGCGTATAAAGCCTCCGTTATCTTAAGTCACAAGGAGGAGCATGGCGATAGTTGACGTGTCCGAGCGATGCGTTTTAAGTTGGGTATCCATGTTCCACATGACGTTGCACTAAGCACGTTGGACGAATGCGATAGCTCTGTCAGTGTGTTATTTCAGCGCCTTGATATATTTGTCGAGAGAGCTGTAGGTGCGTATGAGAGATTCTCACAAGCGCGGTAGTAAATCGTTTAGGTGCCGGAATTGGGCTAGGATGTGGCATTAACAGTAGCGACGTCCGGATGTCGGCTACACTGTAGGCGTCTGCACTCAGCACTTGTGCCATCAGCTCGTGTTAATTGGAGATACCGAGTTATTTCCGGATGCGTACATGCTTATAGCTTTTGCAGTACAGCATAGTTGACTCAATTTCTCACGACAAGCTGTTACAGCTGAGTGGTCACGATCGTCCACTTCGCACTAGACAACTCTGGATACCGACTGCATTCTTATACATGCGTTTGCTTCTATTGATGAGAGACAGGATTGTGACGACCTCTGAAGCAGTACCATTAGATTGAGGTCAACAACGATCCAGAGCTTCGCTCAATTTCAAGAACTCCAATGACCTCAATAGTGGCAAATATAATGATATACGTGTATTGTGTGTCCGATTTCACTAACTATAGTATAAGATGGACATCGCTACTTATGGCTATTATAATGCTGTCGCTGTGAGTTCTAGTGTAACGGTAAGTACCGATGGTTTATCAGCTCGGTACCTGTAGGTGAGTGATGTGTTGAGAACTTCTATAGTCTGCAGTTCGCTTTGCGGATGCCGAGTTCACGTCATGAAATCGCGATAAATGCTCGTAGTGGAGTAAGTTCGTATGAGATATAGGGATCCTCTCTGGGTGGATGATGGGATCGATATAGTGCAAGATCTGTAGTGTGCCTGAGAGGCAAACACACATGCGAATCATTGACCCGCGTCTCTTCATACTGTCGCATGATTCTGCGAAAGTGTAGGATAGCACTACCTCCCATATGGACGATCTTGTCTGAAAGAGTCCCGAATCGCGATCTCGGCATCCGTAACCCTTGGGTGCAACCAGTCGTTATGATGGATCCAAGCTTCATTTCTGGCGCAACGAAGCTCGACAACTTACGAGGAGGCTGCATCATCATGCGAGTGGTTCGTTCTCAGAAACGATGCGAGACACTTTTGGTTAAGATTTGAGGTTGTGCCGACCGTTGTATGGTCGGCCGCTAGCCATTTTTTGTGGGATTATCGGCGAGTCGCTTGGAGTTGGGTTCAGTGGCATTACGACTACTTACTTACTTGACTGCGGCTAGCTCCTGCGACAGGATGAGCCGGTTTCCTGAATGTCGCGAATTGCAGCTAACCAATCGCGGCGGCGAGCCCCCCGCAGATACTGATCTAATGATTCCTCCAGTGACGAACGCCATGCACAATATAAAGTCCCAGAAGATCGCCATCCGATTTCACTGCAGTGAGCCACTTTTTCAATTATCCACCACGGCGATGACACCAACTCTGGCAAGGCGATGGCGTAACCACGGCCGTAGTGAAGCCAGTGTCTGGTCTACGGAAGACGTG